CCAGGCAGAGAAAGACAAACATCACGTGATCTCACTTATACGTGGAATCTAAAGAACTTAGTAAACTGATGAACAGAATAGATTCAATGACATGGAAGCATAGGTCAGACTGACGAATGGCAGAGTGATGGAGGAGGGCCGGTGGGTGGAGGGGGAGAGAGTAACCAAAGAATTTATGTGCATATATNGAGGGGGAGAGAGTAACCAAAGAATTTATATGCATATATGCACAGCCCAAGGACACAGACAGTGGTGGGGAGAGGGACTGGGGAGGGAGATAGGACGGGGTGGAACGGGTCATTGGGGAGAAAAAGGGACATCTGTAATATTTTAAACAAAAATAAAATTTAAAAATTTAAAAAAAAAGTATTTTTTAGAACAGTTTTAGGTTCATAACAAAATTAAGGGGAAGCTACAGAGATTTCCAGTACAATCCCTGCTCCCACACGTGCATAGACTCCTTTGATCCCCTACTAGACCTGTACATTTGTTACAATTGATGAACTACACAGACACATCATTATCACCCAAAATTCACAGCTTTCATTAGGATCCACTCTTAGTGTTTTACTAACTATACATGTTTTAGCATTTTACATGAGGCAAATAGTTTTTCACATAAGATTTAGAAAATAAGGCTTTGTGTTTTATCATCTAGAAATGCATTCATATCTTTACTATTGATTCTGATTTGGGTGTTAATATAAAATACCTGACATAAATTTTTAATGCTTGTTCTTTTAACTCTTAAAAATAGGTTATTTGTTTTATTTTTTTGTTTTAATTAGGTAACCGGGAAAAAGGCATATGCTACAAGCCAGCAAATTTATGAAGCAGTTAAATCATTGTGGACAAAAAACAACAAAGAGTCACTTCCTGAACCTAAAGAAAAAACTAAGGTCAAGTTTAAAGGGACCAAAATGGTTTGTTTGGGTGGATGTTGGCTTATAATGGGAGTCCTGGACAGAGGTCAAGAACAGAATGAGAAAAAGATGAAGGAACATAATACCTTTGCATGCTATAATTTTATAAGATATTTTATTCTTTTAGTAAAATGATTCACTTATGAGGAAAATCTTTTTGGTAAACAGCTCGGAAGCTCTGCTGAAATAGAAATACCTGCAAAAACAGCTCATGACCTGAAACACTCAATGGCTTTTCCAACAGAACTCAAATCTGAAATGAAGACCAAATCAGAATTAAATACAGGTTTGTTTGGATAATTCAATTTTATTCTTATTCTTTCTTTTAAAATTTTATAATTATTAGTTTGAACTTATTTATGTGTTTTTTTCATATTTTTTTCTTTCTCATATCTGTGTTCTGTATATATTTTTAGGTTATGAGTTACTCAGGTACCCTGGACTTTTCTAATTGTGATATTGTACATAATACAGATCTTTTCATATGGGGGTATAAAGTAACACTGGCCGGTTGGATGAGTGAAGCATTTAATATCACTTCATAAATGTGAGCTTTTTAATCAGGTGGAGTAAAATGTACCTTTCTGTATTCTGTCAATTTACAGGCTGTGAATATGAGTCACATCTACGTGGAAGAAGTATTAGCTTTCCATTTCTTGTTCTGTTTACCGCTATCAGCAGTCTTGGCTTCCACCATCAGTTTTATTTAGTTTAGATACTGGGAGAACTTTTAACATCAAATTGTAAAAATAACACCAATTATAATACTAATAACTTTGCTGGTATTACATAATGGCAATTAATACTTTGTGGTACCAATTAGTGACAATTATACTTTCTACACAAATACTGTAATAGTTTTACTGTGATCAATAAGAAGGTAACAGAGTGCTTAATACCATTTCAATATGTATCCACATAAACTCACCAGTCACTGGCTTATATAGATTTATCTATCTGTACAGTGTCAATGGTACTACCAATTAAGTTGTCTTTACTGAAAAGGAAATAGGACCAACTCAGAGGTAAAGAATTAGGAAATAATGATAATATTTCATTATTCAGGTCGCCTTTATTGAGCACCTCCTCTGTGATTCTAAGAGCTGTAAATATATTGTGGTAGTCAATCCTCACCCAAAAACAAAGCAAAACAAAACAAAACAAACCTCTGTAATCAGTTTATGATGAAGAGACTGAGACTCGGGGAACTTAAAAGTAACTTTCCCAAAATCATAGTTTATAAGGAGAGTTGTGTTTATAGACAAAATCTTCTTGACACCAAAGTCCAGGCTCTTTCCTTTTGTACAGAGTAGCTAATTTAGTCTCCAATTTCAGCCTCTTCCTCTCTCATTTAATCTTTATAAAAGCTGTTACTAACAAACATGATTTTTACTGTTTTCCTCTGTCATTTCTCCTTTTTAATCAAGATGACATACAGTTTTTACACTCTCTCTGAGTAATCCACAGTGGACCATGTTCCCTCAAGTATATAATATATCCAGTCATTTTTCTAAATGTCAATTCCAGAGTATTTTATGAAGATGAAACATGTTATGGTTTAACAGTGAGACCAATCCATCCTTAGCCAATAACTTTTTTTTTTTTTAACATATATGGATTTTGAAACCGTTTACCAGCCTCTCATGGGTAATGAAATATATGAAAAGCATTCTAAGGAGACATGTAGAGGAAAGAGATATGCCAGTACCATTTATCCTTATTACATATCATTCAAAGTTGATTATAGAGTAGACCCTTATGACTCACCATTCTACTTTTCACATGCAGTCCCAAAGATCTATGACCTGAGAAACAGTAGTGATTATGAACACAGATTTTAGAATAAGACATGGGTCTGAAATTTTCAAACCTCAATCTCTTTATCCATAAATTGGGGACCATAATAGTGTTTCTCACAGTTATGAGAATTAAATGCAATATTGCATGTAAAACACAAAGTGCAATATCAAGCACATACTAATCCCTTCCTGTTAGAAGGTATCATTATCATTTGACTAGAGTAATTAGCCATTTTCCAATAAACAAATTTATTTTCATTGAGCATACTTTAGGAGCATGTTACTTAGCTGGGGAGCCTAGCTATGGCCACCACATATCAACTTACAACATAGATTGTGTGAACTCTAAAACTATATATATATATCATGGCTCTGAATATGAGTTTATTTTTTTTTTATCATCCATATACATTTATGGTGAAAATTATGTTATTTTGGAAATCATTAATTTGGAAATTTGGTGACATGGACCTCTTCAAAATCTGATGAAAGCAGGGTAAAATCTCTCATCACCTCACAGGATTAATGTCCCTCTAAAGCACAAGTTGGCAAACTGGCCCTTGTGCCAAATATGGCTCAGCACCTATTTTTGTACATTCCACAGGCCATAAATGGTTTTTATATGATTTAAATGGTTGAAAACTCAAAACAAAAATATTTCTTGACAAGTTAAAATTCTATGAAATTCAAATCTCATTTTCCATAAATAAAATTTTACTGGAACACAACCACATTTGTTCATTTATGTATTATCTGGCTATTTTCACACTGCAATGGAAGAGTTGTGTGGTTGCATTGGAGACCTTATGGTTGAAAATAGTTGCTCTGGCCTTTGCAGAAAATGTTTGCTGATTCCGGATTGAGAGGGATGAAATGTGCCATACATACAAGACTCATTTCCCTCCTTATGATACTTGCCAGGAATTTTTATGGCTCAGGAGACTAAATAACCAATCTTAAGACCTTTGAAGGGTAAAACCGAATTTCCTACAGATTTTTAGTGCGATGCAGACAGAAACTCCCCAGGTTCTCAGTTCAGCTTGGGAGTGCATACCTGAGGAACAGAGAGGAATCAGAGGTTTACTGAGTTACTAAAACTGCAGCTCAGTTCAGTGCCTGATTGGATTGAGATGGTAAGTCCTTCACCCTTCCTAAAAGAGGAAAAAGGTTCCATAGCAGGTAGAAGATATCATGTGGAGCTTCTATATTTTTTTGACACAATAGCCACCATACAAACGAAATGCTAATCATATAAAGAGGCAGGAAGATATGTCAGACAATCAAAAGAGGAAAAAGTAATAGCAGCAGACCCACAGGTGATCAAATGTTGAAATTAGCAGAAAAGGACTCTAAAGTAACTGTGATTAATATTTTAAATAAAAAACATGATGAGCAGAATGGACGAAAAGATTGAGAATTTCACAGAAAAATTGGAATCTATTAAAAAATCAAGTGGATATTCTAGAAGTAAAAAAATGTGTGCCTGAAATTAAGAACTCACAGAAGACTACATACATACAAGGGAGGACAGAAGTAATGAACTCAAATACAGGTCAATAGAAAATAGCCCAACCGAATTAGAGAGAGCAAAAAGAATGGGAAGAATAGAACAAAGTATGAGAAACTATTTTGCAGTGACTAGTATGTTTAAGTATTCCAATTACTGAGAAGCCAAATGCTAGATATCATCCCAATTTTATACAAAAGAAACAAAAATATAATTCCTATTTTAACTTCACTCAGTAATTTATTACTGATCTGTCCCATTTCTTGTAATATAAATGAGATAATGTGTGAACTAAATTATTAGTCAACAGATACCAGTAATGGCTATTTGAGACAATAATTCATTGCTGTTTTATAACTTTAAACATCTTTATTCCTTTCCTGTTGTAATGCTAGCTTTTTAAAAATGTCTTCCAAAACAACTTTATGCATAAAGTGTTTTTTATTAGAGATTAAAAAATAAAGTACAAAGAAATGTATTATAATGATTAGGCGATTGAGATTCAAGAAGAGTTTTATTACGGCTAATCCTTTGGGAGGATAGAGAGCCCTTGATCAGTTCAAGGGGTAAAGAAATTTATAAGAAAAGATATAAGCGTTAATTACTCAGAAAAACATGATGTGAATCATTTTAAAAAGGCAGAAATAAAATTACCTAGGCTTAGTGGTTCTAAACCAGACGGATCCACATCACAATTATTTGAGGTTTTTGTTTTCTGTTTTCTAAAATTCACTCAAACTAAGAATTATAAATCAAAATCTCCACATGTGAGGCCTCTAAGCAGGTAATTATAGGAAAAGCTCCACAGGGAATTCTCAGTGTATTTTCCTCTATTTAATAATGTCTGACATAAGCTTCGGGTAAATTAAAAATTCGAAGCCTTTCAACAAATTTTGAGAAGTGGCAATCTAAAGGTAAAGGGGCCTTTCAAATTTGTGTGAGCTGAATCTTTGACTAGACTTTGGACAAGAACATAAATTAAGAAAGTGAGTAGAAGTGTTAAGGAACTTAGTTTATGGCATTTTGAGCAAATCAGTCACATTCAAACTTATATAAAGTATTTGTTACATGCTTATTATAGTATGCCTGACAAAGAAGAAAACTATTTCCTAGTACACTTTTCACTGGCACTGAGCAAAAACTGCCACAAAGTGGCAGTAAAGATACATTTGAGAAGGAAACAGGCAGAACCATTTAACGTTTTTTGTATGCTATGGACCCCTTCTCAGAATAGTTTTTAAATGCGTAAAATAAAATACATAATAATATATGACCTTCCTTAAATGTATTTAAACAATAATATCTAACAAAATATCTAATGAAGGCCATAGTTTTGAAGTGGTGGTAAGTGTAAATATTTCAAGATAACTGCAACTTCAGTATAATACGAAAATATCTGTGATTTCTATTAGTGACAGAATCTAAGGTACTGTTAATACTATTGTGTTTTGTTTCCTACATTCATTATTGAAGGAAGTGCCCATTTTTAGTCAGAGGTTAATGAAAGTAAATATAAATTTCCCCCATCCAAGTTCATAGATCACACAAATTCTATCCATAGACCCCCTAAGGTTAAGCACTGTATTCTATAGAAAACTGTTATTAGTTACATGGGTAGTGATTACTAATGATCTGGTTGTTTGTAATATATTTGCTGGTGACGTTACATATAGGTATATCACACTTTATAAAATAGAAAAATTTTCTGAAATGATAGGTGTAAAATAAATAATTGCCTATAAATCTATTTCTTTGTTTTCATCATAAAACTGAAAATTAAATTTCTCTATGGGGAAAAGTGTGTTTCCCAAATGTAATAATTTTAAAATGAATCAAATTTTGAAAAACCTTTAAAATAAAAACAAATTTCTGAAATTATTTTTTTCTGATGTCAGAAGGAAATATGAAAGTAGTTCTGTCTTGGCTAAGTATGCATAGGGTATAATATGCAGGACTTTGTGCACATTATTATAATGAATACTAAAAATAATTATATGACACTACTCTAGTCCCCATTTTACTGAAGAGCTAAGGTTGTTGTGTTGGGGATCAGATTCATTCATGGCTCCACCACTTATCAGCTGAATGACATTGGTCAAGTTTCTTAACTTCTCTAAATTAAAATTTCCCTATCTGCAAAACAAGGATAATATAAACATATCACCTATCTCATGGTGGTATTCTGAGACAATGCATGAAAATCACATAGCATCCTGCCTGGCACACAGTCACCTTATCAAAATCACAGTGGTCTACACATTGCCAAAACTAGGAATCCATTCTCAATCCCACCTCATGCAGCCCATCAGTAGCTTTTAACACAGGTGATTACTTCCTACTCCTTGAAACAGTCTCTTCACTTGGCCTTTGGGATACCACCTGCACTTGGTTCTCTTACTTCACTGACTGACTGTTTCTTTTAAGCTTCTCTGCTATATTTTCCGAATCTTAACTTCAAAAAATTGGAGTATCCTAAGAGCTGAATCCTTAGACCTCTTCTCTGAGGTTCTAGAATCAGGTAATCTCATGTAGTCCCATAATTTTAAATACCACATATAGGCTAGGACTGCGAAATTTATAAGCCAGCCCAGTCCTCCCCTGAACTCTACAGATTCACATTGCTAGCTATTTAGTCAACATATGTACTCAGATGACTACTTGGAATTCAAATTTAACATACCCCCAAACTTAACACTTCATTTGCCTTCCCCCAAATATGCTTCTCCCACATTTTTCCCTATCTCAGTAAATATCAACTCCATTCTTGCAGTTGCTCAAGTTAGAGCCTCTCTCACACAACATATTCAATCCATTTAGGAAATCCTGTCCATTCTACCTTAGTAATTTATCCTTAATCCAGTCCCTTTTCACCACTTCCACTCCCACTGCCCTCATTAAAGCCATCAGCATCTTTGTCCTGGAGTAATGAAATAGCTTCCTAAATGGTCTCCCTTCTTTCACACTTGTTCCCCTATAGTCTCTTCTCCCCATAGCCAAGAGTGATGTTTTAAAAAAACAACATATGTCACTCCTCTGCTCAAAACTGCCTAGTAGCTTTTCTTCTTGCTTAAAATAAAAAAGAAAAGCCTTATTATAGCCCTTTGTGGCCTAGCATTCCATTGTTTTCTGAACATGTCTCTTATCACTCTCACTGCATCCACCATCACCACATCTTGCCAACTTTGTTCCAGCCATATTGGCCATTTTGTGGTTACTCAACTATGCCTCAGATCTGTAATACTTGCTCTGTTCTCCTCCTATAAAGCATTTCCCTAAGATATCTACCGGGCTCACACCCTCACCTCCTTCAATTATCACTTTTCTAGAATGCTTTTCCTGGCCACCCTATTTAAGATTGCAAATCACCCAGGCACTCCATATGACCCTCCCTGTTTTATTTTTCTGCATAGCACTTACCGCTATCTGATATATTATTTCTTTTAATTAATTGTCTGCCTCACCCAACTTGAATGTTATGTCTGTGTTGGCAGAGATTTTTACCGTTTTTTCCACTGCTGTATTCCTAGTACCAATAACAAATTTGTTAAATGAATGACTAATTTTTTTTCATTTTAATACTTTATCAGGTGCTACACAGTTTATGCCTGACCCCAAGCTCATGGATCACGGGCAGTCCCATCCAGAAGATATAGATATGTACAGCACTAGAAGCTGAAATAGTCTACATAGAGAATTACAAGATGTGTGAAGTTCCAAATAATAATGAAAAAAAAAATCATATAATGGGTAACTGTGATGCATAGAGCATAACTTAAAGCAAATTTACCCCTTACATCTTCTAATGTATAGTTTGACAACTATATGTGATTAAAACACAAACAGCAAATACAGTCTAAACAATATTAAATGGTTGGTGAAGAGGCAGAGGTAGTAGTATTAAGATGCATTTAATGACTTATAAATAACAAATAGAGTGAACACTTGTGAGGCTAAGATCTGAAAAAATATGTCTATATATCAATATTTATACACACATATATTTGCTTTAGCTTTTTCTAATTAATGTCAGCTAAATTAGAATGGATTGTGGAAGGATATGTTCCCTATCCTTCTCTTTTATCATTTCCCAGAGCTGAAATAAAGTATCCATATTTTATGACACTTGGGCTTGGCTTTGTCTCTTTGTTTTATTAATGTTGACTCCTCTTAAATGTCCAAAAACACTTGTAACTATTTAAGGGGACCATGTGCTCTATGGGACCTCCAGTGCTGCTTAGCAGACCTTCTACTGGTTCTAGTTGGTTTTCTATTAACCTCAGGAGAGGTTAATACAGTCCTTTTATTCTCAAGTCTCTTATACCTGCCAAAGATGACTGTGTATCTTATTACATAGAGAAAAGAAACATGTTATTATTAGTCATGATCATTCACAACTTCTTCCCATCTACCTTCAAGACTTACCTCTTTTCAGCCACACCATCCCTCTTTTCTAAGGCTAATTCTATTTGTGTTCCTGATCTCATTCCTTTCTGTTTTTTCCAGTACCATATTATATCTTCAGTCTTTGGTTTCTCTTTTCACTCTATATTTCTCCCTTAATCTCTAAATAGCTTCTGATCTCCTATATCTAAAAACAACAGTAACAAACCTTTACCCTAACCTTGCCTCTATCTCTTGAGCCATCTTTTCTTTTCCTTTCTATAATTGTTATATTTCATAAAAAAGTATATTTCATATAAAAGCAATTAATGTCACTTTCTTACTTTCTTACTACCAATTCCTAAGTTGTGACATCCTGGCCTTTATACCTTCTTGAATTTTCTGTAATTATTCATTATTGACCGACCATTGAAACACACTTCTTCACTTTGCTCTCTCATATTCCTACTTCTCTTGTTATTCTTCACTCTTCTCTTGCTCTGAATCCCTTAAATGACTAAGTCCTTCAGTTTATATTCCTAGTCTTTTTCTCATTTGGTATTGGTCTCATTTTCTTGTTTTGTTAAATCTCACCCAAGGATATTTTTTCCATTGAGTTTTAGAGAGAGTGGAAGGGGGGCAGGGAGGAAGGGAAGGGAAAAGAGAGGGGGTGGAGGGAAAGGGAAAGAGACAGAAACATCAAAGTGGATGTGAGAGAGACGCATCGATTGCCTCCTCCATGCACCTTGACCAGGGTTGGGGACAGAACCTGCAACCCAGGTTATGTGCCCTGAACTGGGAATCAAACCCATGACACTTTGGTGTGTGAATCTACACTGTCACTAGCACTATAACCACGAAACAACACTGGCCAGGGCCAATATTTCTCTGTCCTTTTTTTATTGTTCAAAACATTACAGATGTCAGTTTTTCTTCCCTTCACCCCCTTCCCCAGTCCCTTACCCCACCATTGTCTGTATCCTTGGGTTATGCGTATATGCATATGAATTCCTTGGTTAATCTCTCCCCCCACCCCCCCCATTCCTTCCCACTGAGATTCCTCAGTCTGATCCATGCCTCTATGTCATTGAATCTATTCTGTTCATCAGTTTATTAAGTTCTTTAGATTCCACTTATAAGTGAGATCATGTAATGCTTATCTTTCTCTGCCAGGCTTATTTCACATTGCATAATATTCTCCAGTCCATCCATACTGTCCCAAACTGTATGAGATCATCATTCTTCCTTACAGCTGCATAGTATTCCATGGTATAAATGTCCCACAGCTTTTTTATCCACTCATCTACTGATGGGCACTTGGGCTGTTTCCAGATCTTACCTATTATAAATTGTGCTGCTATGAATGTACGGGTATATTCTCTCTCATTAGTGTTTCAAGATTCTTAGGCTACATTCCTGGAAGTGGGATCCCTGGGTCAAAAGGCAGTTCCATTTTTAATTTTTTTAAGAACTTCCATACTGTTTTCAATAGTGGCTGCACCATTCTCCACATCCTCGCCCGCATATATCATTTGTTGATTTGTTGATGGCAGCCATTCTTACAGTTGTGAAGTGATACCTCATTGTAGTTTTCATTTGCATCTTTGATGATTAATAACATTGAACATTTTTTTATGTGTCTCTTGGCTATCTGTATATCCTCTTTGGAGAAATATCTATTCAGGTCCTTTGCCCATTTTTTAATTGGATTGTCTGTCTTCCTCTTGTTGAGTTGTATGAGTTCTTTGTACACTTTAGAGATTAGCCTTTTATCAGATACATCCTTAGCAAATATGTTCTTCCATAGGGTGGATTTCCTTTGCATTTTGAGGCCCATTTCTTTTGCTGCGCAGCTTTTTAGTTTGATGTAGTCCCATTTGTTTATTTTTTCTTTTGTTTCTCTTGGCCTGGGAGATCTATCAGCGAAAATTCTACTACATGAGATGTCTGTGACTTTACTGTCTATGTTTCCTTCCAGGATTTTTATGGTTTCATTACTTACATTTAAGTCTTTTATCCATTTTGAGTTTATTTTTGTGTATGGTGTAAGTGGGTGGTCTAGTTTCTTTTTTTGCACGTAACTGTCCAATGTTCCCAGCACCATTTATTGAAGAGACTGTCTTTACTCCATTGTATGCTCTTGCCTCCTTTGTCAAATATTAACTGACGATAATTGTGTGTATCTATTTCTGGGGTCTCTATTCTGTTCAATTGAGCTATATGCCTGTTGATGTACCAATACCAGGATGTTTGGATTACAATGGCTTTGTAATACATTTTGATATCCAGTAAAATGATCCCTCCAACTCTGGTTTTCTTTCTCAAGATGGCTGTGACTATTCAGGGTCTTTTTTGGTTCCATATAAAGTTTTGGAATATTTGTCCTAGCTCTGTGAAATATGCTGTTGGTATTTTAATGGGTATTGCTTTGAATCTATAGATTTCTTTGGGTAGTATGGACATTTGAGTGATATTCTTCCAATCCATGAACATGGTATATTCTTCCACTTGTTTATATCTTCCTCTATTTTTTTTTCCAGTGTCCTGTAGTTTTCCTAGTACAGGTTTTTATATCCTTGGTTAAGTTCATTCCTAGAGATCCTATTTTTTTTATTAGCAGCGATAAATGGAATTATTTTGTTTAGTTTCCCTTTCTGAGAGTTCATTGTTGGTGTATAAAAATGCCATCGATTTCCAGATGTTAATTTTGTATCCAGCTACCTTGCCAAATTCATGTATTAAATCTAGAGGTACTTTGATGGAGTCTTTAGGGTTTTCTATGTACAATATCATGTCATCTGCAAATAATGCCAGTTTTATTTCCTCCTTTCCAATTTGGATTCCTTTTATGTTTTCTTCCTGTCTGATGGCTGTGGAAAGGACTTCCAGTACTATGTTGAATAAGAGTGGTGAAAGTGGACATCCCTTTCTTGTTCCTGTTTTCAGTGAAATAGTTTTAGTTTTTGAACATTGTGTATGATGTTCGCTGTAGGTTTGTCATATATGACCTTTATTATGTTATGTTCCCTCTATTCCCACTTTGCTGAGAGTTTTTATCAAATATGGGGGCTGGATTTTGTCAAATACTTTTTCTGCATCTATTGATATGATCATATGATTTTTGTCCATCATTTTGTTTATGTGATGTATCACATTTTTTGATTTGCGGATATTATACCAGCCTTGCATCTCTGGAATAAATCCCACTGTTCATGGTGTATGATCTTTTTAATGTATTACTGGGTACAATTTGCTAGTATTTTGATGAGGATTTTAGCATCTATGTTCATCAGGGATATTGGCCTGTAATTTTCTTTCTTTGTAGTGTTTTTATCTGTTTGGGGGATTACAGTGATGCTGGCTTTATAAAAAGTGTGAGAGTTTTCCCTCCTCTTGAATTTTCTGCAATAGTTTGAGGAGAATAAGTATTAATTCTTCTTTGAATGTTTGGTAAAACTCAACTGTAAATCCATCTAGTCCTGGACTTCTGTTTGCTGGGAGTTTTTTGATTACTTCTTCAGTTTCATGAGTAGCTATCAGCTCATTCAGGCTTTCTTACTCTTGCATGATTCAGCTTTGGAAGGTTGAATGTTTCTAGGATATTGGCCATTTCAATCATCTTGTCTAGTTTGTTGGCATATAGTTGCTCTTAGTTTCCTCTCAGGATCCTTTGTGTTTCTGTTTGGTCATTTGTTATATCGCCTCTTTCATTTCTGTTTTTATTTATTTGGGTCCTCTCTCTTTGTTTCTTGATCAGTGTGGCTAAAGGTGCATCAATCTTTTTAAAGAAACACCTCTTGGTTTTCTTGATCTTTTGTATTGTTTTATTAGTCTCTATGTCATTAATTTCTAATCTGATCTTCATTATTTCTTTCCTTCTACTTGCTTGGAGATTTTCTTGCTGTTCTCATTCTAGTTCTTTTAGTTGTTGTGTTAGATGATTTATTAGAACTTTTCCTTGTTAGTTTTTTGTTTTTTTTTTAATTTTTAAATTTTATTTTTGTTTAAAATATTACACATGTCTCTTTTCTCCCCAGTGACCCGTTCTACCCCATCCCCTCCCCCTCCCCAGTCCCTCTCCCCACCATTGTCCGTGTCCTTGGGTTGTGCATTTCTGCATATAAATTCTTTCATTACTCTCTCTCCCTCCACCCACCCGCCCTCCTCCATCGTCAGTCTCATCTATACTTCCATGTCATTGAATCTATTCTGTTCATCAGTTTATTAAGTTCTTTAGATTCCATGTATAAGTTATGTCATGTGATGTTTGTCTTTCTCTGCCTGGCTTATTTCACTTAGCATAATTTACTAGAGGTCCATCGATACTATCCCAAAGGGTACAAGATTCTTCTTCTTTAAAGCTGCGTAGTATTCCATGGTGGAAATTTCCCACAGCTTTTTTATCCACTCACCTACTGATGGGCACTTGGCTGTTTCCAGATCTTAGCTATTGTAAATCCTGCTACTATAAACATAAGGGTACATATATTCTTTCTGACTAATGTTTCAGGATTCTTAGGATACATTCCTAGGAGTGGAATCACTGGGTAAAAAGGCAGCTCCATTTTTAATTTTTTGTAGAACTTCCATACTGTTTTCCATAGTGGCTGCACCAGTCTGCATTCCCACCAGCAGTGTACTAGGGTTCCCCGTTCTCCACATTCTCTCCACCACATGTCATTTGTTGCCTTGTTGATGGTAGCCATTCTTACAGGTGTGAAGTGATACCTCATCGAGGTTTT